AATTCCAGCGTTCTTGGATAGCTTCGACGGTCCGGATACGGTACTGTCAAAATGCCGTTTCTCGAAACTTTCTCATTTCGAAAATCGCAAAAATATTCAATATCGATTTTTTTCAAAAATCCTGGCTCCAGAAACTCCAGAACTGTGCGTAAATCGCCTTCCTGTACGCATCGTAAAGACAATTCTCGGATTTTGAGAGGTCTCAGTTTTTTCAGAACATTTTGGAATTTGTCTAAAAATTCCAAATTCGACTTCTCCACCAAATCATAATCGATCGGAGTTTCGGAATCATCGATTTCGAAAACCATTGGGGATGGGAAAAAATTCAAATTCGAAAAGTCGAGTCGCAGAGATTCGATTTCAGATTTTTGAAATCTGAAAAATGTTGATCTTATTGAGAGCTTCAAAATGAGCCCAAACACGATCAATTTTGGAAGTTTTTGAAAATTTTTTGAAAAATATGCAATTTTCAGATTTTTAGAAAAAATTCTGAAACAGGCCGTGTTTAGGCTCATTTTGAAGCTCTGTTTCTCCTGATCTCAAAAATATATTTTTTACAAACCTAGCTCTAAAACTAACAAAGTTACACTGCTCAATGCGAAACACGACCATTTTTCGAAAAATTTGAAAATTTGAAATTTTTTTGAAATTTTGAAATTTTTTGAAATCAAGTCGTGTTTAGGCTCATTTTCAAGCTCCAGACTTACTGAATTCAAAAACTAAAATTTCATGAATTTAGCGCTAAAACTAACAAAGTTACACTGCTCAATGCGCGCGCGCGGGGCTAGAGACGCAGTGTGTCTCGTTTCTCTGCGTCTCTAGCCTTCGCGCCTTATGACTTCGTTAGTTTTAATTCTTGCTTGATGAACATTTTTCTGTTAAATTCAGCAGAGTAAGAGCATCAAAATAAGCCCAAAATTTTTTTTTTAATTACCGCAACATTTTTTTCAGGTCTTCAAAAAATCGATATCTTGAATTTTGATTTATCGATTTTATATAAGTTGGCCCATGTGTTTTGACAATACAAGTGTTCGAACCAGTTGATTTGTAATTCAAACTTTTGCGATCCCCATTTTGAGTTGAAATTAAAAATTGGAATTTTCCGGATCTGACAAATAAATCAATATCGATTTTATTTTTGGATCCGGTTTGATTATCGAAATACTTCGACGAATTCCAGATGAGACTTTTTCAAGAATCGCGCTGAAAAATATAGAAGTGCAAGAAATAGAGATTCTGAGGAAAAAATGGACAAAAAATTGAGTTTTGGAAATTTCGAAAATTTCAGATTTTCGATTTTTTAGAATTTCTTTCTAAAATTGGAATAGTAACTTCTGACAATTAGCATTTTCGAATTTCTCATTTTAATAGCTTCAAAACGAGCCCAAAAGCAACAAAATTCGTTCAATTTCGAGTTTTGGAGGCTAGAGACGCAGAGAAACGAGACACACTGCGTCTCTAGCCCCCGCGCGCGCATTGAGCAGTGTAACTTTGTCAGTTTTAGAGCTAGGTTTATGAAGAATTGGTTTTTGAATTCAGCAGGCCTAGAGCTTGAAAATGAGCCTAAACACGACCAATTTTGAAAAATTTTGAAAACTTCGATTTTTTGAAATTTTTAATTTTCTAAAATCTAGTTGTGTTTAAGCTCGTTTTGAAGCTCTAGATTTGCTCAATTCAGAAATATATTTTTCATTGAGCTAGCTCGAAAACTCAGAAAGATACGGTTACTAATGCGCGCGGGGGGCTAGAGACGCAGTGTTTCTCTGCGTCTCTAGTCTCCAAAACTCGAAATTAAACGAATTTGATTGATTTTGGGCTTATTTTGAAGTTGTTAAAATGCGAAATTCGAATATTCTAGTTGTCAGAAGTTATTAAAGCAATTTTGAAAGAAATTCTGAAAAATCGAACATTTCAAAAACTCCAACAATATGTTTTTTTCAGATTTTTTCAAAATTTTCACTCACATTTCAAACAATTGCTGGTTCTTTAAAACACGTTCTAAAATTATATGATTTTCAAAAATTTCCCGCGGAATGTTGTATCAGAAGGGACCAAACATAAGGATTTTAGATGCTGAAATTCAATTTTTACAAAATTTTAAATTTCAAATCTTTCTAACCTCTGGTAAATTTCGAATTAAATTCAGGCATTCCAAATTTTCACAGATTGATAATTCTTCCAAATCCCCCTCCAAACTTGAAATTTCAGATTCCAAATCTTTTTGGAATCGAGAAAAATAATGAAAACCATCTTCAAATGAATAAATTAACAAGTCTCCATTAGAATTTGAAATTTCCATTCTGTGACCTTCTTCGAATTGATCGGTTTCTGGTTTCGGGGGACCGAAAGTTTTTGTTAGAGATAATTGGTCAATTATCTTAGCTTTAATTACAATTGATTCGAAGTAGGAGCAATTGGAGAATGCCTGAAAAAAATTAGAAATTCGGAAATTCAGAAATCAGGAAACTAGGGACCCAGGGACCCAGGAACCCAGGGACCCAGGGACCCAGGGACCCAGGGACCCAGGGACCCAGGGACCCAGGGACCCAGGGACCCAGGGATTTAGGAATCCAGGGACCCAGCAGAAATTCAGAAAAATTCAAAAACCCCACCTTTTCAATTGTTTCCATAACACGTTCAGAAATTTCATTAAAACCAAAAACCAATCTCAACTGATTTTTTGGATTCTCCTCATTTCTCCAAATTTCCAGATCCAGAACTTTCTCGAATTCTGCGAAATTGAAGTTTTTCAAATTTTCCATCGGTATTTGTTCCAAAGAGTTGAGATCCAAAAAAGAGAGAATTTGAGGCAAATACTCAGAAATATGAGTAAAAAATGAAAATTCTTGAGTTTTTAATTTTCCAGTTCTTTGTGGAAGGGTGGATCTGAAAATTGTTAATTTGAAAATTTTGATTTTTTGAAATTTCGAAATTTTTTAAAATCTAGTCGTGTTTAGGCTCATTTTCAAGCTCTTAATCTGCTCAATTCAAAAATTAAATTTTCATAAACCTAGCTCTGAAACTGACAAAGTTAGGGTGTTCGATGCGCGCGGGGGGCTAGTGACGCAGTGTGTCTCGTTTCTCTGCGTCTCTAGCCTCCAAAACTCAAAATTGAACGAATTTTGTTGATTTCGGGCTCATTTTCAAGCTGTTAAAATGAAAAATTCAAAAAGTCTAGTTGTCAGAAGTTATTAGACCAATTTTAAAAGAAATTCTAAAAAATCGAAAATCTGAAATTCGCAAAAATTCTTTTAAAAATTGAATAATCGTAGTGTTTGGGCTCATTTTGAAGCTTCATACCTACAAAATTTGAGTTTTTCATTTTTCAAATCGTATAGAAGGCCGTTTCAAAAATAGTCACGCTAACAAAATTGAACAAGATTGTAGCTTCAAAATGAACCCAAACATATTTTTATCGAAAATTCCGAAAATCGATCATAAATCGATCGGTTCTCATGGAAAATCAAAAGTTACACAATTTTCAAATATAACAATCAAAGCGCTTCAAAATGAGCCTAAACACGACGATTTTTCGAAAAATTTGAAAATTTGAAATTTTTTGAAATTTTGAAATTTTTTGAAATCTAGTCGTGTTTAGGCTCATTTTCAAGCTCCAGACTTACTGAATTCAAAAACTAAAATTTCATGAACCTAGCGCTGAAACTAACAAAGTTAAACTGCTCAATGCGCGCGCGGAGGCTAGAGACGCAGTGTGTCTCGTTTCTCTGCGTCTCTAGCCTCAATCTAGTGCAAAACGGCTGTTTTTGGGCTCATTTTAAAGCTCTAATTTAGCTGATGTCAAAACAAAAAATGCTCAGCATCTGTCTGAAAATAAACTCACAGTATCTGTCGGAAAATCCGGAATCCAATATGTTCCAGATAATCCTTATAATAATTTTCCTCATTCACTCCACTCGGAATTTCATAATGAACTTGAAAAGACTCCATTAATTCTGTTTGATCCATCAAAATTTGATGTAAATCATCTAGAAAAACTGTGACGAAATCATTATTCTGAATGAGAACGCTTTCTTTTCGAAACGCTTCGATTCTGGTGTCCGGTCCTTCTTGATTATAAGAGACTGATGAAATATCGCTGACCGATAAATAGATCGATCGATGCTTATATCGGATACTAACCATTGGGAATTTGGATTTCAAATTGGTTTGAAACATTGAATAGGCGTGAGTCATTCTGGAAATTCCGTAAGGTTCTTCTAATACAGGGATTACGGTATTCCCAGGGGAATTCAGAAATTTGTAAATTTGAAAAAGAAATGTTGCCAAAAGAAAGTATATGCAATAAAAATGTTGGCAAACAACTAAAACTGATAAGAATGATAGCGTTAACAATTTTTCGTATGCAGGGTATTATAGGTAAAAAAGGGAAAGTTGGAAAAAGAAAAAAACCTTATTGATAATGAATTTCTGAAACGTGGAGCCAGGAGCCAGGACCTAAACCTGGACCTGGACATTTTAGAAACTTTCAGAAACTTCCAGCAAGATCTAGAAATTTGTTTTCCAAAACCCCCCCCCCCCCCCCCCCAAATTTTCTCCTATTCTAGGACCATGCTCATTCTCCCAACATCAAGCTCCGCCTCCAAAAAATCAAGCCCCGCCCATTTTTGAAAAAATCCTTTTCCTCTTCATCAATCTCCAGAAGTTTCTTTTGATATTTTATAATAGAAAGAAATAAGTTGAATATTAAGAAATACATTTACTTTCAGACAAAAAGTTAGGAATTAGAAGTGACGATCGAGACGGTTGGATGAACATTCGCCTTTTTGATTCCCAAAATTTTAAATACAGTATCCCGATACTGTGATGACATTTTGTAGCAGATGATACAATGGGTAGCCGACATTGGAACATAAATCATGTTTAGGATTTTCGTCAGACTCTCATAAATCACTCTGAACAAAAATTACAAGAGTTCGGAAATTTCAGAAGTTCAGAAGATCAGAAATTCAGAAATTCCGAAATTTAAAAATTCAGAAATTCAGAAATTCAGAAATTCCGAAATTCAAAAATTCAGAAATTCAGAAATTTAGAAATTCAGAAATTCGGAAATTCGGAAATTCAGAAGTTCAGAAATTCAGAAATTTAGAAATTCACAAATTCAGAAATTCAGAAATTTAGAAATTCAGAAATTCAGAAATTCAGAAATTTAGAAATTCAGAAATTCAGAAATTCAGAAATTTAGAAATTCAGAAATTCAGAAATTCAAAAATTCAGAAATTCAAAAATTCAGAAATTCAGAAGTTCAGAAATTTAGAAATTCAGAAAATTCCAGGAAATTCCAGAAAATTCCAAGAATTTAGAAACTCACGCCTCCTCATAGGTATCCCGTGTAGCTGTGACCAATTTACAGATTCCAATTGGAAATTCGATAATTATGAATGTAATTGTCATATGAATCACCAATTTGTTCCATTTGGCCGTCGTTTTTGAGCTAGAAGACGTTTTTCGAACGTCTTCGACGATTTTTGTGGCTTTTCCAAGTTCACAGATAAGAATGATAGTGATAATTGGGAACAGAATCGATGGGATGACCTGAAATTTAATTTTTGAATTTTCGAATTTCTGAATTTCTGAATTTCTGAATTTCTGAACTTCCGAATTTCTGAATTTCTGAATTTCTAAATTTCTAAATTTCTGAATTTCTGAATTTCTGAATTTCTGAATTTCTGAATTTCTGAATTTCTGAACTTCTGAATTTCTCAATTTCTGAATTTCTCAATTTCTGATATTCTGAATTTCTGAACTTCTGAATTTCTGAACATCTGAACTTCTGATTTTCTGAATTTCTGAATTTCTGAATTTCTGAATTTCTGAAATTCTGAATTTCTCAATTTCTGAATTTCTCAATTTCTGAATTTCTGAATTTCTAAATTTCTAAATTTCTGAATTTCTGAATTTCTGAATTTCTGAATTTCTGAATTTCTGAATTTCTGAACTTCTGAATTTCTCAATTTCTGAATTTCTCAATTTCTGATATTCTGAATTTCTGAACTTCTGAATTTCTGAACATCTGAACTTCTGATTTTCTGAATTTCTGAATTTCTGAATTTCTGAATTTCTGAAATTCTGAATTTCTCAATTTCTGAATTTCTCAATTTCTGATATTCTGAATTTCTGAACTTCTGAATTTCTGAACTTCTGAACTTCTGATTTTCTGAATTTCTGAATTTCTGAATTTCTGAATTTCTGAATTTCTCAATTTCTGAATTTCTCAATTTCTGATATTCTGAATTTCTGAACTTCTGAATTTCTGAACTTCTGAACTTCTGATTTTCTGAATTTCTGAATTTCTGAATTTCTGAATTTCTGAAATTCTGAATTTCTCAATTTCTGAATTTCTCAATTTCTGATATTCTGAATTTCTGAACTTCTGAATTTCTGAACTTCTGAACTTCTGATTTTCTGAATTTCTGAATTTCTGAATTTCTGAATTTCTGAAATTCTGAATTTCTGAACTTCTGAATTTCTGAATTTCTGAATTTCTGAATTTCGGAATTTCTGAATTTCTGAATTTCTGAATTTCTGAATTTCTGAATTTCTGAATTTCTGAATTTCTGAATTTCTGAATTTCTGAATTTCTGAATTTCTGAATTTCTGAATTTCTGAATTTCCAAATTCCAGATTACTGTACCTTTTCGAAAATTGCCGTCAGCAATAAGTGCAATTCTCTGGCATCTACTTTTGATGTCCCATCGTTGTCATCCACAAAATATTGGATTACTGTAGTTTTTGGACACCTGTAAATACAAAAAAAAGAAAATCTACAGTAATCCAAAAAAAGATTTACCCAGTGATCAAAACCCAGTCTGGATCCGGTGCGACTTTGTAGCGGAAAAAATAAAATACGGTAATCCCCGAACTGCAAATTATTGAAAAAAGCATAGATTTTAGACCAATGCAGGTTCAGTGATAAAATTGAATCTGAAAAAAAGTTTCATAAAATTGTTTTTTTCTGGATTACTGTACTTTTTGTTCATTGCCAATTTCAGCGAAAACATTCGAATTGCCGCCATTTCCAGGCCAAACCACGTGGAACACCGTCGACAATTATCCCGAAGTGCCAGTACGGACCAGTTGAATACGGTCTCGAAATAACCACGTGGCGGGGTACTGTAGAATATCTTTTTTGGGGAAAATTCATATTTTTAGCAGCTACAGTAGTAGACTAACCCAGGATACAGTAATTTTGTGAAACTACAGTACCCTACTGAAAAACTACAGTACTCTTCAAACTATAGGAATTCTAGAACAGTAACCTGAAACTTCCAAATTTTTATTTTCCTCATTTCCAAAAATATCTTATTCAAGAAATCTGGAATTTCAAAAATCTGAAAATCGATAATCTCAAATTTGAAAAGTCAAGGTTTCTGAAAATTCAGAATTCAAAAATCTTGAATTTCAAGAATCCGGAATTTCAAAAATCTGGAATTCCGAAAAAGTGGATTTCCTAAAATCCGGAACTTTGAAAGTTTTGAGATTCCAAATTTAAAAATTCTGGAATATCACAATTCCCGAATATCCGGATATCCAAAATTTCGGAATTCTGAGAGTCTGGAATTACGAAAACCTAGAATTCTAAAAATATGGTTTTCTGGAAATCTGGAATTCCGATAATTCGAAATTCCAAAAATCTAACATTCCAAAAATATGGTAATCTGGAAATCGATCATCTCAACTTTGAAAAATCAAGAATTCTGAAAATTCGGAATTCAAATTCAGAAATCTGAAATTCCGAAAAAGTGGATTTCCAAAAATCCGGAACTTTGAGAGTCTTGAATTCCCATATTTCAAAATTCTGGAATACCACAATTCCCGAATATCCGGAAATTCAAAATTTCGGAATTCTGAAAATCTGAAATTACGAAAATCTAGAATTTCAAAAATTTGAAGTTTCAAAAATCTAACATTCCAAAAATATGGTAATCTGGAAATCTGGAATTCTGAAAATCTAGAAATCTGGAATTTCAAAATTCTATAGTTTTGAAAGTCTGGAATCTCAATGACCAGGGACCCAGGGACCCAGGGACCCAGGGATCCAGGAATCCAGGGACCCAGGGGCCCAGGGATGAAATACAGATTTTTAAAAATAAAAAAAAAATCAATTTTCAAACTTCCCATGGTCCGGAAAAAATCAAATCTCGAATTCCAATTTTCACATAAAATATCGGCGACACACAGTCGACGACGGCGATTCCGATGAGCAATGACGTCACCGCCGATGACGTCATCATTTTTTGAGACAGTACAAAAATGTGTCCGAAATTTACGAAAATCGCGAAAATCGCAAAAATGTACATGTGCTCTTCGAGTCGAGTTGTCCAGGTACTGTAACTGGAAAATTTGAATTTTTTGGAATTTTCCATTTAGCGCGAAACTTGATTTTTTTCCAACATTAGAGAAACTCACTCGAAAAAAGCATCGATTCCTTGATATTGGAATGTTTCAGACATTTTTGGAATTTTCTGGAATTTTCAGAAAATTCAGGAAACCTGAAAATTATGAAAACGTCTGAAACTAAAGAATGGGAGTTGTAAAATTGTTTACTCAGAATATGTTTGAAAAAAAATTTGAAAAAATGAAAAAGGAACATTTTTATTATGATTAAAGAATGTCAGATTTTCAGACAAATTGAATTTGTTTGAAAAAATTTTTTTTTCCAAAAATTCCAGATTTTCAGACAAAATTAAGTTTTCAGCATTGTAGATCCACCATGACTGGAAAATTGGATTTTCTTCAATTTTGTCGTTTTGAGACCCAAAATGTTTTTGACGGTTTTTTGGTATTGGGAAGACATTGAAAGGCATATAAAGCAGTGCATTAGAGTCATTGGAACATAGAAATATTGGAATATTTGATTGGAGTCATGTGGGATAGATCTGTAATGGGGAAATTGATTTTGGATGAAAGTTTTGAACTTCAGAAATTCATAAATTCAGAAAGGACGAAAGGACCCAAATACTGCGGGACCCAAAGACCCAGGGACCCAGGGACCCAGGGACCCAGGGACCCAGGTCCTGAATCCTGAATCCTGAATCCTGAATCCTGAATCCTGAATCCTGAATCCTGAATCCTGAATCCTGAATCCTGAATCCTGAATCCTGAATCCTGAATCCGGAATCTTGAATCCTGACTGGTGAATCTTCAAACAAATTCAAAAAAATCAAAAAATTCAAACTTACGACTCAGTCTGCATTGAATTAAAAATCTTGCCCACTCCAATCGGAAATTCGATGACCAAAAATGTGATTGTCATGTAAATCACCATTTTACTAATTTTCTCGGTTTTTACAATTGCTGAATTCATTTTTTCCGGTTTCCGAAGTTCACAAATAAGAATGGAGGCAAAAATTGGGAATAATATTGATGGAATTAGCTGGAAGTTATTTTTTTGAACTTGAAAAATTTTTTTTTTATTTTTTTTTCACCTGGCCGAAAATTCCAGTCAGTAAAATATGAATAGTTCTTGCGGCTCCGCCCAAAACGATGCTTTTATTTTCCGGAGAAAATTCTTCACAAGAGAATTTAGTGATCCATTTGAAGTCTCCGTTTAGAAATTGACAGCTGAAAAATGATTTTCCTGGAATTTTCTGGAATTTTCTGGAATTTTCTAAAATCCAGGTCCAGGTCCAGAATTGTAACAAAAGAATTGCTCACTTTTGCGGAGCGCTCTCCACAATTTGGTACCGTATATAATACGGTATCATTATTGGTGCGCTAAGGGTTACTGTAGAAAAAATGAGAATAAGTCCAAATTTGGAGTCCCCTAGAAGTTTTGAGCTGAAAAAATATTTTTTTTTCCAAATTTTAAAAATATTTACCTTTTTCCAGCTGCCAATTTGACTGAAACTGTTCTAGTTATAGCTAAAAGCAGGCCCATCCACGTGGAACACCTTCGAAAATTTTCGCAGAAAGCTGCGAGAATTAAATCTAGCAGAACTTCATCATATGTTGGAATTTCGCTGAAATTTTGAAATTTAAAAGAATTTCAGAATTTCGAAAATTCAAAAATTCGAAAATGTTAAATTTAGAAATTCCTTAATTTCTGAATTCAGAAGTTTGGAAATTCAAAATTTCCAGAATTACAGATATTTTATATTCCGGATTTTTGAAAATGTAAAATTTTCACGATCTGGAAATCCAAAAATTTGAATATCCTAAAAGTCCAGAATTTAAAAAAAAATCTAGATTTTGAAAATATGAAGTTTCTAAATTCTCAGAATCCAAATTTTTGAAAATCCCAATGTTTTGAATTCTGTATTTTTGGAATGCTGAAATTCGGGATTCCAGAATTTTGGAATTCCAAATTTTTTTTTAAATTGTGGATTTTCAGAATTTCAGATTACCAAAAATCGAGATTCCGGTATTTCAGATTTTTGAAATTACAGTTTTTCAGAGTTCCAGATTCCAAATTTTTGACATTCAAAATTGAGGAATCCAAACATTCAAAAATTCAGAATTCCAGAAAATTCTAAAATTCTAAAATTCTTATGACATATCTATACTCATTTTGAAGTTCTTGACTTGCTGAACCCAAATTTTGTGTGCAGAGAGACTTTTGGTTACTGTAGTCCTAAAACACGCGACTGGCACTTGATCCAGACGACCCATAGGTTTTTTGGGGTGTTGAATCGAATGGCATTAGCGGGTTTCCTCCAAAATTTTTAGTTTTCCTGAAAACCTCAAAATATATGGGGTGGTTCTATCATTATGACGCGCACTGTAAAAAATTTGGGTTCAGCAAATCAAGAACTTCAAAATGAGTATAGATATGTCATAAGAATTTTAGAATTTTAGAATTTTCTGGAATTCTGAATTTTTGAATGTCAAAATTTTGGAATCTGGAACTCTGAAAAACTGTAATTTCAAAAATCTGAAATACCGGGATCTCGATTTTTGGTAATCTGAAATTCTGAAAACCCAAAATTTCAAAAAAATTTGGAATTCCAAAATTNTGGAATCCCGAATTCCTCAAAATATGGGGTGGTTCTATCATTATGACGCTGTACTTTCAGCCACATTCAGACTCACCAAGGATCCAAAAACCCATTCCAAACCCTCTGAACTCCTCTTTTCACAAAAACCATTGGAGATAAGATATCAACGATGGCAATTCCAATCAATAATGTATTCATAGATGAAGACGTCACAGATTTTCGGCTCAAAATGAAGACGTGGCACAGATTTACAGAAATCGAAATTACAGAAAAATATGGGATGTATTGACCCAGAACATTGACAAGGAAGCTGCAAATTTGGCTGAAATTTTTGAAAAAAAAATTTCTAAAAATTCAAAAAAATTAATTAATTAATTACCTGACAAAAGATTCCAGAGACATTTAATTTTTTCTGTTGGAAGTGAGAAAAAAAAACTGAAAAACAAAAAAAAATTGGGAAAATAGATTAATTTTGTGTTTTGGGAAAAAATGAAATTTTTCGAAAATTAGATTTTTGATTTCATGGGAAAAATTATCAGAAATCAGAAGAAGGAAAACATTTATTACTCATCTTAACTTTTTTTTCTGGTTGAGAAAATTTTGTATACGTCAGAATTTACGAATTCTGATTCAGGAATCACAAAAATCAGATTTTTTAATTTTTGAAATTTTCGAAAAAAGATAAAAATTCGGAAATTCGGAAATTCGGAAATTCAGAAATTCAGAAATTCAGAAGTTCCGAAATTCAAAAATTCCAAAATTCCAAAATTCAGAAATTCAGAAATTCGGAAATTCATAAATTCAGAAATTCAAAAATTCCAAAATTCAAAAATTCAGAAATTCAGAAATTCAGAAGTTCCGAAATTCAAAAATTCCAAAATTCAAAAATTCAGAAATTCAGAAATTCAAATTTTATTTATACCCAGAGTTTTTTCTCCCAATTTTTTACAAGAAAAGTGTGATATAAAATTGTTCCTTTGAAATGCAATTCTGTGTTCGTTTATTAATATTTTCACCTGCTAGTAATGGGATTTTTATTGTTATTCATGACACATTATCAAATTTTCATTTCCTGGAAGCAAATCTGTTACAATGGTTGTTAGGAAAAATATCAGAGCCGAGATAATTGGACTCAAAGTGCACGTGGACTTTTATTTGATTTTACAACTACGGTAGTTGACTTCAATCCTAATTATCTCGGTTACTGTAGAAGATATCAAAAAGTGGTCAACTGATAAATTGTTTATCATACAATCACCAATATTTTTTCAGTTAACTATTTTTCGATATCTTTCACATGGCTGAGATAAGACTAATTTTCAGAGGGGGGCTTTTTTTTGTATTTTTTCAGTATCTGGAGTTTCAGATTTTTCGTTTTAAAATGTTATTTTCAGATAAAAATTTTTGATAAAACTTTATTTACAGAAATTAACAGAGAAAAAAAATCAGAGTTTATTAATTTCCATTTTCTTTCTCGAGCTCTCTTCTCCTCCATAGATCACCAAGTATATATCATCTTCATAATAATCTCGTTTCAGATTGCTGAAAATTTAAAAAAGTTGAAAAAAAAATGTTTTTATCAATTTTCTATAATTGCTCACCTTATTTTCCATAAAACCAATGCTCCAAAACCATTAGCAAATATGTGAATTGAGTACCAAATTGGCATGAATAATATCATAACTGGAATAATGTTGAAATTCAAAAATTCGAAAGAAAAATATTGAGAACCTAAAAATTTTTCCTAAAAAAACAAACTTAATTACCCCACAAATTGCCCATAACTTTAAAAATCTTTGTGAAATGTGATAAATAATAATTGCAATTGAACAAAAAAAACAGTATTATAGTGTGAAATTCGAAAAAAAGAAGAGTATAAGCAATGAACCTGTTGGTATTGGAGGATTTTACATTTCGAAATCTGAAAAAAAAAATTTCTGAAATTAAAAAGAAATCAGTTACCAGCCTGATGGCTGCTGCGCCTTCGGCGCAATTCATCATTTTTAATTGTTCGTCGCTCCACCCCTCACTCTTCGACTTTTCTTTCCAACATCTACGACCTCCCTCCCCTCTCTCGCTGTTCCCCTCATAGCGCAGTTGTGTGCGTGCGCAGTCGTCGTGCGAAAGGTCGCGGGTTCAGTTTTGGTGGCGGCCAACCCCTTCTTTGAAAACCCAAAAGTCCAGACGCGTCTAGCGTTTTATATATAAGGAAGATTGATAAGGCCCGAAATAAGTTTTTTTTCACTGAAATTTAAAAAAAAACTCACCCATCAATAACCGAAAAAATTAATTTTATTGCCGAAGAGACAAGAAAAGAGAAAGTCACGAAGATCAGGTAGTCCTCAAAAATTGATTTAAAAATTCTGAATGTTGCAAAAAAATGACAAAATTATCCCAATTTTTTGATTTTCCTAACACATTTTTTTCTCAAAATATCGTATGTTTCGTCTTCAATCATTTTGTTAGAGTTTGTAATTTCCGGCATTTTGTCAAATGAATTTTTTAAAATTGGAAATGATTCCCTCAATTAGGAATACGCACTCTCCACACTGATCGCTACAATTTCAAAAAAAAAAAACTTCAATATAAACAACTTATTTTCCAAGTCAAACAGAAAACAAATTAAGTGCTCTACCCGAAAAATCAAAGGTAGAGAAAATCAGAAAACGAGATCAGAATGCACAAGCTCATCTGGAGTGAAGATGATGTGAAACATGGGAAAATTGAGTCTAATTATCCTAACAATTAGACTAATTAGGCAAATTAATTTTCAAAAAAAACTCTGAAAATAATTAAAGCAGTCTATAAGACGCCGTTGACGCTGTGGACCCTTTTCTCTGCGTCTCCACACTCTCCACACTCTCTGATCGTTTCAATTTTCTCTGCAATTTCTCTTGAACACGACTTAAACTGGCCATTCTGGAGATTGATGGGGACGAAAGGGAATGTTTTTGAAAGTGGGCGTGGCTTGATTTTTTGGAGGCGGAGCCTGGTGTTGGGAGGATGGGAACGTGGTCCTGGAATAAGAAAAAATTGGTGATTTTTGAATTCTGGAATTTCCTGGAATTTTCTGGAAGTTTCTGGAATTTTATGGAAGTTTCTGGAAGTTTCTGGAATTTTCTGGAATTTTCTGGAAGTTTCTAGAATTTTTTAGGATTTTCTGGAATTTTCTGGAATTTTCTGGAATTTTTTAGAATTTTCTGGAATTTTCTGGAATTTCTTAAAATTTTCTGGAATTTTCTGGACATTTCTGGAATTTTCTGGAAGTTTCTGGAAGTTTCTGGAATTTTCTGGAATTTTCTGGAACTTTCAGGAATTTTTTAGAATTTTCTGGAATTTTCTGAAATTTTCTGGAATTTTTTAGAATTTTCTGGAATTTTATGAAATTTTCTGGAAGTTTCTGGAAGTTTCTGGAATTTTATGAAAGTTTCTAGAATTTTCTGAATTTTTTAGAATTTTATGGAATTTTCTGGAATTTTCTGGAAGTTTCTGGAATTTCTTAGAATTTTCTGGAACTTTCTGGAATTTCTTAGAATTTCTGGAAGTTTCTGGACATTTCTGGAATTTTACTGCTTACCACTCCAACCGGAATCCGTATCGAATGATTGCTTTCCGTGGAACTTCTTCTGGAATTTTTTCCAGAATTTTCAGACAAATTCTGAAAATCTCCGGTGGACCGGGAAGCCTTGAAATTGGGCGTGTGATGGAATCCAGAGAATTCGGAGACGATTTCAGCAAAGTATTGAATTTTCATTTTTGTTCTGAAAATGAGAAAAATTGAAAATGATAGAAAAAAAAACTCAAAAATAAAGAAATTCAAAAAATTCAGAAATTCAGAAATTCAGAAATTCAGATATTCAAATTTTTGGTATTCTCAAAAATCGAAAAAATCAAAAATTTTCCCACCTTTTTATACCCCAAAATTTAAGCTCCGCCCCTTTTTTCTTCCGACAAGATGAATCTTGTAGTAGGAGGTGTTTCTAGTCAGAAAAAACTATGACTAAAACAAAAAAAAGGGAAAACATTCCCTTTTTTTTCTTGGTCTAATTGGATTTGTTGTTTAGGAAAATGAACATGATGATAATGATGGGAAAACGATGACTATTTGTAGTTTTCGCGGATGATGTAGGTTTTGCAGCGAAGAAAATCATTAAAAATGGAAAAAAAATAGTGAAAAATGGACCAGAAGACATGAAAAATGGATAAAAAATAATGAAAAATGGTCCAAAAATTATGAAAAATGGACCAGAAGACATGAAAAATGGACCAAAAATCATGAAAAATAGTCCAAAAATCATGAAAAATGGACCAAAAACATTAAAAATGGTCCAAAAATCATGAAAAATAGTCCAAAAATCATGAAAAATGGACCAAAAACATTAAAAATGGACCAAAAATCATGAAAAATAGTCCAAAAATCATGAAAAATGGACCAAAAACATTAAAAATGGTCCAAAAATCATGAAAAATAGTCCAAAAATCATGAAAAATGGACCAAAAAACATTAAAAATGGACCAGAAGACATGAAAAACGGGTCAAAAATCATGAAAAATGGTCCAAAGATTATGACAAATGGACCAAAAATCATTAAAATAGATCAAAAATTATGAAAAATGGACCAAAAAACATTAAAAATGGTCCAAAAATCATGAAAAATGGACCAAAAATTATGAAAAATGGACCAGAAGACATGAAAAATGGACCAAAAATCATGAAAAATAGTCCAAAAATCATGAAAAATGGACCAAAAAACATTAAAAATGGACCAAAAATAATGAAAAATGAACCAAAAATCATTTAAAATGGACCAACACTTTAGGCTTTTTTCAAATCTTTCAAAAATCTGAGAACCTAAAAATGTATTATAACTTTTAACTTGAATTTTCAGAAATTCGAAAATTTGAAAAATCGGATTTTTGAGAGGTTTGAAATTTTGGAGATTCGCAATTTTCAATTCTTTCTACAGTAATCCAAAAATGTTTTTATGAATTATTGTTTTTTTTTCTAATTTTTGTAATCTGAAAATTCCAACTTTGCTGTATTTTTAAATTTTTCAAAATCATATTTCCAAATGTTCATTGTTCCAAAAAACCAAAAAGTCCAATTTCGAAAAACCAACTTGTCTAGTTTTCCTTCGATTTTTAACAGGATTAAACTACAAAATTTCTATTTTTTGACACAAAAAATGACTAGAAAAATGCAATCAACTGGAAGAAATTGGGACTAGAAAGATTAGGAAAAAAAGTGAATTCTGATTTTTCTGATGTGTGGACTTTCGTTTTGGAGTCATCTGTATTTTGTAGCTCATCAGGGATTACTGTAGGAAAATTAATTAGGAAAAACCAGTCTGTTTGGTGTTTCAAACAGATTGCTGGTGCGCTTTCGGCGCGATTTTAAACTATTGAGCCTCTTTGTGGCGAAAGGGATCAGCAGACTTCTCCAGTCTGGCTAGTCAGTAGACTGTTTTAATTTTCTATATATTTCTTTAATTGTAAACTTTTTTCTAGCTACCGGACGTTCTATTAGAGCGTTTACGTATTTTAAGATTTGAACTGGAAAATTTCTAATTTTCCTACAGTAATCCCTGATGAGCTACATATTATTTATGACTCCAAAACGAAAGTCCACACATCAGAAAAATCAGAATTCACTTTTTTTCCTAATCTTTCTAGTCCCAATTTCTTCAGTTGATTGCATTTTTCTAGTCATTTTTTGTGTCAAAAAATAGAAATTTTGTAGTTTAATCCTGTTAAAAATCGAAGGAAAACTAGACAAGTTGGTTTTTCGAAATTTTCGAATTTTCAGATTTTTTGGTTTTTTGGAACAATGAACAGTAGGGAAAATGAGTTTTGAATGATC